GCATGGCGCCAGCTAATTTTGTGAGGGACGATGGGCCCGGTTTTTCTGGCCAGGTAGGGTGCCTGAAGTGGAATTGCAAACTGTATCTTGCCCCATAGTGCTATTTATAACTGGTATTTGTGACAAGAAATATGGTATGGGGGCGTATCTTTCCATGTTCTAGCAGAAGACGCCTTCTCATTCTTATTTAGCACATTTGGTAAGTAGTGGAGCAAGGCCCTTTGGGTCGAATTTTAGACTCCCGGTGAATGAGCATATGCCCCAGGGATGCCATATGCTCATTTTAAATGCTCTCAACGGTACTCTCGTCGTCACTTTACTTGCTTTGAGTTTTCTTACCTATTTGGTGGGGTTTCAACCTCAGCAGTGGGCGAAGCAGAAGGCCTGACTCACTAGCAGTCTAGTACCAGAAGGCCTGACTTTAGTGAGTCCACGTTGTATCTAGTCGCTTTTACAGACACATTAGTATACTCTCACTAATCAAACCTAAATGCCCTCCTCTCATACATAAAACGACTTCTCAATGGGAATGAGATCTTGTCCAAGGTCAGTTGGTAAGCCACACAAGTTGCATTCAGAAGGTTGTGTATTCAATCCCCAACGGTGTCCTATCATCCAAAAATAGGTCCTTGGGCATTAGCAGGACCTGGGTGCTCTGCAACAACGTATTTTTTATGATTATTACTTTTTTTTTAAGCAAATGCTCCAATCTATTCGTGGGGAGCAGCACGTGCTGGAAACCGGGTCCAGCGTCCCATAAGGACATTTACAACAAGGATCTATTTTTAGAAAAGTTGAGAAGACCTCCCCCGGCCAACATTGATTACCTTGGGATCCTGGGGATTAACTGAGCGCAGAACCCCCTTTGATGGTAATGAAAATGAAAAGAACTATGCAGAAGCCAGGGGATTAACTCCGGGCTAACCCGGATAGATCAAATTTGGAAGAACATGCAACCCCTGAAACAGACAACCAGAACAGTCCTGCCTCCGTCATCGAAAGGAAGAACCTCAAGCGGATCCAGGTGGAGTTAGTGGCCAGTGGCCGGTACCCGCCGAGATACTCGGTGCCAATCGCATCCACCCCAACTCCCTCCATCCAAATCTCATCCGTCCACCCAAACTCCGTCCTCGTGAAGAATTCCAGAGAACCTCATCTCAGCAGGGGGCGAGCACCACCATCACCCTGAAATTCCTTGCCCCCACAAGAATTCCAGTCTCCGTCCTCAAGGAGGTGAACCAGCGCTACCCAGCGCCAATCGCGCCAAAGTTTGCCCTCATCAGCCGGTACCAATCAGACAGCCTAAGCTACCCAACGCCAATCCCATCTGATAAGAGCTCCCCCTAGCCGGTACCCGTCAAGCAACCCTATTCCATCCCCCTCTCCGTCCTTGCCAAGAATCATTTCATGCCCCTTGCCCCCTACTTCAAAACAAATCCCCCAAAATTCTACAAGATGCTCCACTTGGCCATCCCATGGGGCCCCTGTTCAAAACTCTGACCAACCTCTTGGAAGAAAACAAAGAAATCCTAAAGGAGTAGAGGAGGGAATCTTTGAAGCTCCCCTCCCACTCTCTCCACAACACAGAGGGGAAAGGAGAGGACAACACCTCTCCGCTGTGAAGAGAAATAGCGATGCCCTCATTCTTACCAAAACCCCTCCCTCCTCTCCTTGAGCTGCCCCCGTCGAGAAGAGGCTCATTCTCATCAATGACCCAGCTCAGGACAAACGCCCTAGCGGACCACCGCTCCCTCAAAAACAAGCAGCTCCCACCAAAAGTCTGCGGGGGCCCATTCTCATCAATGACCCAGCTCACGACAAGCGCCCTAGCGGACCACCGCTCCCTCAAAAACAAGCAGCTCCCACCAAAAGTCTGTCCCCGCAGAACGACGGTCCCCCAACCCCCCATCCCAACCCACTCCATGTTGGAACACCCCCCCGAGGACAACCCTAGAACCACCTCCTTCCTCCTTCATTTCTCCCCACGACGCAGAGGGGAAAAGAGAGGACAGCACCTCTCCATTGTGAAGAGAAACAAATTTGCCCTCACTCTGATCAGAAACCCCCCCCTCCTGTCCTTGAGCTGCCCCGTCAAGAGGCGACCCCTTCCCCTTATTGACCCCAGTTCAGAACAAGCCCCCTAGCGAACCACCACTCCCTCAAGGACGAGCAGTTCCCACCAAAAGCCAGTCCCCGCGGAATGGTGGTTCCCCCAACCTCCATCTCAACCCTCTCCATATGGAATAGCCCCCTGAGGATAACTCTGAAGAACCGCCTTCCCATCACCAAACGAAAAATAGAATCAATCTACTCTTCTGCATACTATTTTTTAAGTCGAAATTTAGAAATGAATTTTAACCAATTTTTTTTAATGATTGGGATGAAGACACACGAAAACTAGAAATTTCAAAACCGAAAGATCTACCTCTTGAACTTTAACCTCGAATCAAAATTTAGAAGATCAATCCAGTCTATCGAGATCCTTTCAAAAATAGAGAATCAATTACGAAACTAAAAACATTAGACATCTGTAATTGAGAGAAAAAATACGAATTTAGGTTTAGACATCCAAAACGGATTTTCGAAATAGATTTCAAACCTCAGTTTGAGAAGCATGTAGCAAAGGCAATTAAGACATGTTTGAGAAAATTCAAAGAATTGCTCAGACGGTAAGACAGGAAAGACTAGACAGAGGACTAATTCCACAATCAATTATGTATGAGAAAACCATAAGGAAATCAAAATCGAAGTTATTTGTACTGTGTAATTAGGAGATCATCACACCAGTAGAGATGAGTTACAGATTGAAAGTGGGAAATTAACCTATAGTAACTACACGTGGATAAGGATGGCACTAGGTTGGATCACATCCCCCCATAACCCTTCAGGGCCTTCACCCATTCTCCATTGTTTCACCCACCTCCCATTAATCTCGCTTTCCTTTCGGTTCCCTCCATGGACCTAAGCCGCAGTTTTTGTAAGGAGAGATCCTAATTCATCCCCCCCAAGGGCAAAAAGCAATCGGCCCAAGCCCCCACTTACCAAACCTTGCAGGGCTCGTTGTGCTACGACACTGTCTCTTATACACATCTAGATGTGTATAAGAGACAGCCCTCAGCCCTTCACAGAAACCAGCCGACGTGCAAACGAATACCTACCAGACCAGCACAGGTGTTGTCTCCGTGTCTTCTCTGTGATAGCTACCAGCTCGAAGACGGTAGGCTGCGCTACATGCGATTGTGTTTTGTCGTTTTGTGAATGTTTGTTTCCTTTTGGGTTGGTCCGATGGAGGTAGGACCGGTCGCGTTGAGGATTTCGACGTCAATCGTGGGAAAGGGTATGGTCGCCCACGGCTATAAGACCAGCAGCTGTGGTGGTCGCTGCAAGCCGAGCGGGCGACCGGCGCTAGGACATGCGGGTCGTGCTGTGTTCTGGCGGTCGTGGTCCACGGCGGACTCGCGAGGGGGTATAAGAGGAGGGCCCGAGGGGTTGTCAGCTCCTTTCTTTTTTGTTATTTTGTTATTTTTCTGTGTCCTTTTTGCTGTTTAGTGTTGCTTCCACTCTGCTTCCTATATGAAGATTCTTTCAGTTGCGGTTTAGTGTTGCTTCCACTCTGTTTCCTATATGAAGATTCTTTCACTTGCGGTTTAGTGTCACTTCCACTCTGTTTCCTATATGAAGATTCTTTCACTGTTAGACTATACCATAGTTTACATCCACTAGTACCTTTGTCGGTTCGAAAATACTCGGCCTCCGACCTTTCAGGAGGCCGAAACGAAACGAGGACCGATCGGATTTACCAACGGCGGGCTCAGCCTCCTGAAAGTTCGGTGGCCGCCTGAAAGGTAGGAGGTAGACCAGTACTTGTCGAAAATAGGCGTGGAGGTACTACCAGGTAGTGGTGGGCCTAGCTCAGTTCATACACCAACAAACTGAACCAGACTATTAAAAAAAAAAAAAGAAGAAAAAAAATTATTTTCATTCCAGCAGGTGCCGCTCCCTACCAATAGATGGAGCAGCCCGGTGGCCAAGACCTCAATCCCGGCGGTTCTCTTAAAACAGGTTCTCTTACCACCNTCTTATACACATCTAGATGTGTATAAGAGACAGGGATCCCCACTTGAGGAGGTGGTAGGACCAGCCCCCCCCCCCCTAAAGAGGATCCAACTGTGAAGGCCCCGATCTATTGGTGGTGGGGGAGCTGCACCTGGTCATGCTGGAAACCGGGTCCAGCGTCCCTTATCATACATGCAAGAAAGACAACGACAACGACAACGACAGCTTCGAACGCGCCACCAGTCATTTGTGGAATTGGAAAGAGTGAATGAGCTTGCCATCCACATCATAGAACAGCACTTGCAATCTAGCGGCGTCTGCGTGAAAGGAGGCAAAGCCCTGTCCTTCATGAAGGAATAAGACATTCCTATCTCCACCGTTAAGGGAGGCAAATCCAGACCGCACTTCGGACCCGGCCCCAGAGGTCACCATAGCGAGAGCATGTTTGGGGAGGTTGTCCGTGATGATCAGCTGCAGGTTGTGATCGTGACCGTTGATGTAGAGATGAACCCCTGCGTCCTCCAAGAGGGGCAGCAAGAGTTCCACCAGCTCCGGCTGATCGCCGTGCGAGCCCAGGCTGTAGATGGGGTGATGACCAATCACGACCTTCCACGTGTCGTTCACTGCTTTGCCCAATTCCTCTCGAAGCCAATCGAGCTGCCACTCCGTGTCCCTCTCCGGATTACCAATGCCCTTCCAATTGAACTTAGTGTTATTCCAGTACGCCCGGACGAACGGCGAGGTGTCCACGAAGAAGAGCGAGATGGAAGCTTTGCATCGTTGCCCCTCCAAGGTCGCTTGCGAGGGACAGAGGTCCCTCTTCACGACGAACGTGCGGTTGCAGTTCCATCGCCAATCCTGCGACTTCAGATCCCCGTTCGTCTGCACCGTTGGATCCCCCATGTAGTCGTGATTGCCCAGAACAACATACCAGGGTCGCTGAAGGCTGGGTGCAGCGTACACGTTCGAAAACGAGGTGGCAAAGAGAGGATCCATGGTGTCTTGAAGTCCGGCGTCGTAGAAGTTGTCACCCGTGGAGACGACAAAGTCAACGCCGCCAAGATAGCTGGCCACGTAGGCCATCGAAGCGGCCACAAGGGTTTGATTGAACATCCCGCGACGGCCCCAGTCGCCGACAGCAAGAAAGGACAGAGGGCCTGAGCCCGCGCCAGTGCCAGTGCTGCTGCTACGGGTCGTTGCAAGCGGATCGGAGCTGCTGCGTCGACACTCATCACCACTAGCAACCGAAGAAGAAGGAGAAGAAGAAGAAGAAGAAGAAGGCGACGGAGAAGGAGAAGAAGAAGGAGAAGGAGAAGAAGAAGGAGAAGGAGAAGAAGGAGAAGGAGAAGGAGAAGGAGAAGGAGAAGGAGAAGGACGACGATGGATGGCTTGCGCAGCTCGAGGCGAACCTCTCTCAGCTAGTGCTTGGGCTCCTCCATCAGCAGCAGCCGCTACTCCTCCATCCACTCGAGTACCTCGGGCAATCGCCACAGTAAGACACATGAGGGCCACAACCAGCACAACAATCCCGACCGCCATGCATACCACAATCCGCCATCGCCGGTCATCAGAGTCAACTGGCCGTCGATCGCGCGCGCCATCGTCACTGCTAATTAAGCGCGCTTCGTCATCAAACACCGACACTGCATTTGGTCTGTTGCCCCTTGTCATCCATGCTGGTCCTTTCCAGGACAACGACAATGCCTCCATCCTTCTCTCCCCCCAGCAACCCCCCCC